GATCTAGAATTAGACTCAGTCTCTCTCTCTCTCTCTCTCTCTCTCAACTTTTGTGAAGATGGAATGAAGAAACAAGTCAATCATTTACCACAGTGTTGTTTGCTTAGCTATCATCATCTTCATATTATGTACAAGGCAACTGTCTATGAGTAGAACTAGACCAGAAATCACCCTTTCATCATTTGTTATGAACTCTGTCATAGCAGAGAATCACCCTTGTCTTTGAAAAATCTTTCAAATAGGGTTTACTGAAGCATTGTGGTCCCATGTCTTGTGAGGTCCCCACATACCAACATGTTGTTTAGGTGAGGTTAGATGTGCCTCTTGGGGACTGTGGTTCCATGACTCAAATGTCAGCAGATATCCAAGGTACAGTTCTTCATATTTTAGTAACCACTATCTGAACATTGCACTGTCCCTAGGTTAAACTTCAGATTTAAAACTTTTCATCTAGGTTGCTCATGTCCTGTGTCTCACTTCTAGTAAAATTTGTCTTTCTTTTTTTCAAATGGAAGTATTAATACTTAGGATGTACATGCATGCGTATTTTTTTTCTAATTTGCAGTGAGTGAAATACAGAGGTTAAGGAAGTTAGAATAATGAAACAGGGAGAGAGGAGTCCCTTCTAACAGTAGATGCCATGGTAAATGATGGTGGTGGTCAATGAAGCACTTCCTTCACATCTAATCTCCCACTGAAATGAAATAACTGCATTTTAAGGAAATAAAACCTAACCTTTCTTGAGATGACCTGTTAAATGAGTCAAAAAGCCTTAATTCTAGACCTATAAAATTAATCAAAATAATCCAGCTGTACAACTGTCTTAGTTTTAGCACAGAGAATTTAATGATAACAGTGAAATCCTGAACCTTGGCTATAAAAGATACTTCTCTACCACTTTCCTGATAGTCGTGCTCTTGAGCTCATTGTCCACTCTACTGGGACGCAGAGCTCCCTTTTTCTGGGCCCAACCCCTCAGAATAAGCTATCTCTTCTGTAAGTCCCTTTGTGACTGTGCTACCTGCCAGCCAGCAGTGTCCTGGTGTCCTTTGGGCTGCTGCAGACTGAACAGCCTGAGATTCTAGCCAGAAGATAAGAGGTTGCTTTAATTGGCTAAATCTCTTATGTACTAAGCATATGGCCATGAATTTGTAGCCAAAATACCAATTAAAAAAGAAAAAGTCACGTGCAGTTGAAACACAAAACAAGAATGAAAGTTCTGCTCTTCAATTCTAGTTTTACCATCAGCGCTTAACCGAATACAGTGAGTCGGAAATTTGTTACCCTGGCTGAAGTAGAATTTTCCTGGTACACTCCTTGCACCAACTCCATAAGAGCACTCCCTAGAAGTTCCAGGACCTAAAAAAGCAAGAAAAAAGAATTAAAAGGAACAATTTTAAAATGCAGCTCCATTTTTTCTTTTTTTAACGTCAGAATGCTTCAGAAGGCTCAGTAGCAATGCAGGGTTTGTGCTTGACAGGAAAATTGAAGTTATGTGGAAAGATCCTGGCAAATGGCATTGTCAACCTGAATTTTAAAGCTGTGTTACATGTTTTCCAGTCATATTTTAAGTAAAATAAAAAGCCCTATAAAACAGCATTTAATCAATATACATAAAAATCTAGTAACCATTATGTAGACCAGGCTGGCCTTGGAACTCACAAAGATCTGCCTGCCTCTGCCTCCCAAGTGCTGGGATTAAAGGTATGAGTCACCACACCTGGCTATATAAGGTATCTTTTTAAATTTATTTTTTATTAGCATTTTAATTGAATTTTTGTGATTTCCATACAACACAATTTGATGACATTTATATCCCCTCTCCCATCCACCCTGCCCATTACCCCTCGCCTCATTTCAATGTACTCTCTCTCTGTATAATAAAGCCTATAGTCTATCTTGAATCCCCATATGTTCTCCAGTGTGGATCCATCCACTGGAGCTTGCATAGGACTTGTGTATGCTGTCACCATTATATAAGGTATCTTAATTCAAGAGGATAAAACAGGCTGGAGAGATGGCTCTCAGGTTAAGAGCACTGGCTGTTCTTGTAGAAGACCCAGGTACAAATCCCAGCACTCACATGATGGCTAACAACTGCCTGTAGCAATGCCCTCTTCTGACCTCTGAGGACACTGCATGACATGGGTGCACTTATACACATGCAAGCAATACACTCATACACAAAAAATAAAAATAATAAAGAAAAATTTTAAAGTAGTATAATTGATAGTATTCAATGCAATTCAAGTAAGAATTCCTCAAAGACATCTCATCTGCTTAAGTAGTCTTAATATTGGTATATTTAACTTCCTACATTATACGGTCCTGTATCTGAATTCTACTCTTTGTTTCCTCAAATTTAGCTAAGTTCTGACTGAGTTAAAGGATTTTGTTTCAGGTTTTATCGTTACTATAATTGAAGACATTATTAAGTCAATAGGTATAGACGCAAACAAGAAGACACTTTAATCTCAGGTAACTTGCATTTAATAGGCATTTTCTTAGAGGCAAACGACATTTGAAGAAAGACTTGCTTTAAAATTTTAAGACATAAACATTTATCTCTAACTTTCTATTTACATTTATATTGCATAAAACTGCTGATACTGAAATTTAGCTGATTAAAAGCATTTTTTTTCTAGCTCTGCAGATGGGTTAATTTGTAAGACACATGGAAAATCACACTGTCCTTTAGGTAACTAAATACTTAAAAAAATATTATAGCCATATGAGCTGCAGGGGAACTGGAAAGACAATGATCCTACAGTGTTATCAGATGTGTTGAGTTATTTAAGTGGGGAAGAGAGAAAAATGAATGGATTTTTTTTTTCCTGAAGGTATCAGATAAGCCCTTTTCCAAATCTAGAAGGACTGAATATCACCAATAGGTCTATGAAAGAATGTAACTAAATGCACAACAACAGATTGGATTACAGTTTATACAAGCAACATCCCAAGATCCCCCTAGTGGCTGGACACATAATACAAACCAATCATTCACTAGAAATGTTATGGTTTAAAATAGTTTGAGCTCTGAGACCAACACCAGCAATGTGAAGAGGGATTTTCAAAGAGAAAGTCCAACATAAAATGTCAAAATGATTGTACGAACTTTTAACAGCAGATCAGGCTCTGGATAACCCTGAAATTCCATACCAGGCAGAAGCAACAAAAACATTCTGTTCTCTCTTATTTCTTAATGCAATTAGCAAATATAGGCAGACCTGACTTGGAAGTTCATAATTTTAAAATGACCTATACTTAAAAGTGGCCATATTCAACATAGCCATGAAATCAAGAAAGGAAAAAGATGAGTTAACAAGTGGAGGAGGGGAGATTATGGAAAACAGGAACAGCCTGCAGGAGTTGACTTGGTCTTGAGCTGACTTTCCCAGTACATACAGAAATCCCTTTTCTTTGACTGAAATGTTAATTTAAAAAAATCAAACCAAGATCAGGTGTGGTGGCAAAGGCTTTTAATCTCAGCACTTGGGAGGCAGAGGCAGGTGAATCTCTGTGAGATTAAGGCCAGCCTGGTCTACAGGCCAGCTGGGGCTACAGGGAGACCCTGTCTCAAAAGACCAAACAAAGAAAATTTTAAATCAAATTTTTGTTTATTTCATACAGAACATCTTAATCAACTTTATACCTCCTTCCCCATTGGCATTCACCAAGAACGCCCCCCCCCCAAATTCATACATTTTGTCATTTGTGATAAGGCCTATCATGTGAAGTTAGGGTTCCCAGATATCCCTCAGTGCAAGTTTATTCACTGAGATCTAGTCAACCTATCTAGAGTCCCTCCCTTTAAGAAGATCAGCTCTTCCTCACCCAGCAGTAATCAGCTACCAATAATTCTTCAACTAAGATTGGGGCCTGCTGTCTATTTCCACAGTTCTGTGCTGGATTTTGGTCTGCATGAGTTTGCATGGGTCCTTGTGCATGCTGACACCATTGCTGTAGGTTTATATGAGAAGGGTCCCAGGAGCCTGTAAGACTCTATTTCCATAGCAATAACTTCTCTTAATCACTGAGCCATTTCTCTAGCTTCAACCTCAGATTCTTGAGGAATGATTTGTTTAAGCCACAAAAAGTGCTATTGTAGCTTGGGGTGGTGGTGCAGCTTTTAAATCCCAGTACTTTGGAGACAGAGGTAGTCCAGACTGTAAGATAATGGTCTGCCTGGTCTACATAGTGAGTTCTAGGCCAGCTGGGGCTATAGGGAGACCTTGTCTAAAAAAGATGAAAAAAAAAGGACTGGAGAGATGGCTCAGCATTTAAGAGTACTGGCAGAGGACGAAGGTTCAGTTCCCAATGCATTCACATGGCGGCTAACAACTGTCCATAACTCCAGTTCCAGGGGAATCCAACACTCTCTTCTTAACTCTACAGGCATTTCACTACTTGGGTACACTTACATATATGCAGGCAATAAATACACTCATACACATAAAGAAAAAATATTACTAGTGAAGGACCGGCAAGATGGCTCAGCAGGTAAAGATGCTTGCCACCAAGCTTATAACTTAACTTCAATCCCTGGATCCACATAGTAGAAGGAGAGAGATGATGACTCCTGCAAATTGTCCTCTGACTTTATAGTGCGCACGCATGTGCATGCGTGCCTCTGTGTGTGTGTGTGTGTGTGTGTGTGTGTGTGTGTGTAACTTAAATTAAAAAAAAAGTCTAAGTGATGGAAGTTGGAGAATAGAGGACTTAAAAGTCAAAACTTCTGACATTTCTCTCTGGGCTCCTTGATGCTCTAGACAAGAACAACCTTGAAAAAGATTCAAGGACTTTTGTTCTTTAGGCCCAGAGCAAGCAAAGACTTTTTCCTAGAAAAAGAAGTATCTCAATGTAGCTGCCTTTGGAAGCCCAATGGAAAAGCAAACTGCAAAAGAATGAAGTAGAGTACTAAGAGCCAGAGGATCTCGATTCTGTTTCAGGGCCTATTACAAATTTTTCTAGTGAGATTTGAGGTAAATCAATTCAGGGTTCTGATTTTCTTCAAATATAAGATGAAGGGAGGTTTAAAAGATGATTTTGTTAGACTCTCTTCTAGCTAAAAAAAGTCTGTTAGAAATGCAAATCTTAGCATATATAATCAGGCAAGGCATTAGTGACTTTTGCATTGCTCTGGTGCCAAAGTACTTGACAGAAACAACTTGAAGAAGAAAAGATTTATTTTGGCTTATGGTTCCAGAGGGTTTGGTCCATAATTGCTTGGTGCCATGTGCTTAAGTAGAACATTATGACTGTAGGAGCATGTGGAAAGGACAGAATGTAAATGACAGCAATCAGGAAGCAGAAAGACAGGAAGCAGCCAGGGGCCTGGGATAATATACCTTTAAAGGGGGGCTGGAAAGATGGCTCAGCGATTAAGAGCACTGGCTGCTCTTGCAGAGGACCCAAGTTTGGTCCCCAGCACCCACTTGGCAGCTAAGAACTGTCTGTCACTCCAGTTCCAGGGAATTTGAACCCCTCTTCTGACCTCCGTGGGTATTGCATGACATGGGTGCACTTATATACATGGAAGCAATACACTCACCCATACACATAAAGTAAAAATAATAAATGAAATATTTTAAAAATATATACCTTTAGTCGGGCGTGGTGGCACACGCCTGTAGTCCCAGCACTTGGGAGGCAGAGGCAGGTGGATCTCTGTGAGTTCAAGGCCAGCCTGGCCTACATTAGTCGTAGGAATGTGTGACAGAGGTCATGTGTGCTTGTGTGGCCTGTCAGGAAGCAGTGAGAGGTCAGAATAGGGCTTGGTCTACAACCTTCAAAACTCCTTTAAATGACCTACTTCCTCTAGCTAGGCCCCACTTCCCAAAGTTTCCAGAATGTCCCCAAATAGTGCCACCAGCTAGAGACCAAGCACCTATAACATGATGCTTGGGAGACATTTCAGATTCAAATAATAACAGCACATATAAACTTGAAAGAAGTTTTGTGTATAAACTTGGATCGAAGCTTTGCACATACTATTATTATTGCATATATTTTTGAACTTCCTTTTTCCTTATGCTGCATTTTTATCTGTCATCTTGACATGGACCTATCGTTCTAAACTCTTATTATTTGCATGTTTTTTTTTCTTTTTGGTGATACTGGGGATTGAATCCAGGGCTTCATACATGCTAGGCACCATTGAGTTGTACCTCAATCATCCTCTTACTTTATTTTAAATTAAAATATATATATATATATATATGAATAAGTGTTTTGCCTGGATGTATATAAGTGGTCCATATGCACACCTGTTTCCCTGCATAAGCCAGAAGAGGGCATCAGATCCTCTAGAATTGGAGTTACAGACAGTTGTAAGCCATCATGTGGACGCTAGGAATCCA